ACCATCGCAGGCGAATAATAATAACCTTTCACCTCGTGTAATTCTTTAATCGGAGTAGTATATTATATTCATGAATGTCATCAAAATTGGTAACCTCAAACATCAATCGTTTCTTAATTAAGTAATCAACAAAAACATCACACGAAGGTTTATTATTTTATTTACATCATACGAAGGTAGATTCCCTATAGATAAGCTATTAATTGCATGTTAAATGTAAATGTAAAAGATCATAGACACTGTAAAGCATGTAGGGTACAAATACTCCCTACGAAAATATTTCAAGCTGGAGATTTTTTTTTTTTTTACATAATACTTTATAAATTTACAGTTAAAGAGGTTTTAACTGATTTCCCTGCTTAAAACAATCTCAGTTTTCATTTGATTTTGTCTTTGTAAACAATATACACATTGAATAATATATGGCTACACGATTGGAGAGTAAAATAGAAAACATTATTTTACAGCCTTTACTAAACGTTGTAGATATGGGGTCAAAAACAAATTTCTAAATCTGGATTGATTTTTTTTTAGATGTATGGTGTCATAATAGCTCAAGATACATAAACTGAACGAGAAATTAAATGTAATTTCTCTATATATTGGCGATTTTTAAGCCAATTACACACTCGAGACCTGAAATTCAAATAAGTTCTATTTTTAAGGTATATTAATCAGGGTTAGTCTGATTTATTAAGAAGGTTAATAATTGCAAGGTGTGAATAAATTTGGGAGAAAAGGGTGAAAACCTGATTTATAAAAGAAAATAGCGTAGAATTGACAGAAGGTAAAAGAAAAAAAGAAAGAGAAAGATTTGAAAAATATCTTTTACCTCTTTGGTATTGTACATTGGTGACAGCATGGTACAGAAAAACGTCAGAGGAAAAGAATTATCAAAACGTACACAGTACATTTTTCTTTAATCTTTTCCAAAAATTTGATTTTTCAAAAAGCAGAAAATGTGTCAGATAGATTTATGCAGCTTTCATTCATTCACTCATTCATCACTTGCACTGTCTCGTGAGAAAAATAAAACTTTGTATCAGAAATTAATATTTAAAAATACAATAAATAAAAAACAAGAAGAAAAAATTTCCTCCTTTCCAAGTGCGTTTGCTTTGTGGAGTCTCTCTCCTCTCTCTCCTCTCTCTCTCTCTATCTGAAGTGAGGATCTTTGTTTGGTTCTGCAATCATAATTTCGTGATATATATTATAAAAAGAGAGAAAGAAACATGAAATGCATTCTCTTCTCTCTTCTACGCATAGACCCTACTCTGTGATCAAATTTTCCCTGCTCTCTTCTCTTTGTTCTCTGATGGATTTTCCCTCTTTTTTGTTCTCCCTGAAATTATGGGCTTTGCTCTCTCTTTCTCTCTCTGTCCGTCTCTAAGGCACACTCACACTCACACTCAAAAGCACTTCTTTTTTCTTCCTATTCTTCTTCCTAAATCTGAAATGGGTTTTCTTCGGAAACAGCGATGAACAGTTATTTTGACTCCAAAAACCAGAGCTTTAATCCGGGTTTCATGGCGAAAAGAGCAACACTTTTCTTGTCCTCTCTCACTTTCTTGATGCTACTACTTCCATCGGCTTAAAAAAAATCACAAAATCAAATGGTGTTTTCGTCAATCAACCACTCTCGTTTTGTGTGTTTGGGGGAAGAAGAACAAGAGTGTGCGATTGATTGAATTCTAACCTGAAATTTCCGAACAAAATGGCATTCTGGTGCATGTCAATTCTTCTGATTGTTGGGTTTCTTTCAAAATCCGAGTTTGGCGAAGCTCAGCTAAGCGATGGAGCCGCATTGGTAGCCATTAATAAGGAGCTTGGAGTTCCAGGATGGAGTCGCAATGGCACGGACTATTGTACTTGGGTTAGGCTCAAGTGTGGTGCCAACAACTCGTTTGTTGAAATGCTTGATCTCTCAGGGCTTCAGCTTAGAGGTAATGTCACTCTAATCTCTGACCTCAGAAGCCTAAAGCATCTAGATCTTTCTGGTAACAACTTCAATGGACCAATTCCTGCATCTCTTGGCAACTTGTCTGAGCTTGAGTTTCTTGATTTGTCTCTGAATCGTTTTGCTGGAGAGATTCCAGCTGAGTTTAGTAAGCTTAGAGGCCTTAGAGCACTCAACATTTCTAATAACTTGCTTGTGGGAGAGATACCTGATGAGCTTATGGTTCTAGAGAGGTTAGAGGAATTTCAGGTCTCTGGAAATGGCTTAAATGGTTCTATACCTCACTGGGTAGGGAATCTGAGCAATCTCAGGGTGTTTACAGCTTATGAGAATGAATTGGGAGGCGAGATACCGAATGGGTTAGGTTCGGTTTCCGATTTGGAATTGTTGAATCTTCATTCAAACCAGCTTGAGGGGAAGATTCCAAAGGGGATATTTGAGAGAGGGAAGCTTAAAGTTTTGGTCTTGACACAGAATAGATTGACCGGTGAACTCCCTGAAGCAGTAGGAATCTGCAGCGGCCTCTTGAGCATTAGGATTGGGAATAACGAGCTTGTAGGAGTCATTCCGAGGACAATCGAGAACATCACTGGACTTGCCTACTTTGAAGCAGACAATAACAATCTCTCAGGTGAGATTGTTGCAGAGTTCTCAAAGTGTTCTAATCTCACTCTGCTGAATTTGGCTGCAAATGGGTTCGCTGGAACCATTCCAACAGAGCTTGGTAAGCTCATGAATCTTCAAGAACTGATTCTCTCAGGGAATAGTCTCTTTGGGGAAATCCCAAAAACGTTTATAGGATGCGGAAACCTGAACAAGCTCGATTTGAGTAACAACAGACTCAACGGCACCATCCCTAAGGAACTCTGCAGCATGCCGAGGCTTCAGTATCTGCTCCTTGATCAGAATTCTATAAGAGGAGACATACCACATGAGATTGGAAACTGTGTGAAGCTGCTTGAGCTCCAACTGGGTCGGAATTACTTGACGGGAACCATTCCTCCCGAGATTGGTCGCATGAGGAATCTGCAGATAGCACTCAACTTAAGTTTCAACCATCTTCACGGATCACTGCCCCCTGAGTTAGGGAGGCTCGACAAGCTCGTGTCACTGGATGTCTCTAACAATTTGCTGACAGGATCCATACCGCAACTACTAAAAGGTATGATGAGTTTGATCGAGGTTAATTTCTCAAACAACCTCTTGACTGGTCCAGTTCCAGTCTTTGTTCCCTTTCAAAAGTCTCCAAATTCGAGCTTCTCGGGAAACAAGGAGCTTTGTGGAGCGCCATTGAGCTCTTCGTGTGGATATTCTGATGATCTTGAACATTTGGGATACCATCACAGAGTATCCTACAGGATTGTGCTTGCAGTGATTGGTTCGGGTGTTGCTGTCTTTGTATCAGTAACTGTGGTGGTTGTTCTCTTCATGATGAGGGAGAAACAAGAGAAAGCAGCGGCTAAAAATGTCGATGTTGAAGAAAACGTCGAGGATGAGCAACCTGCTATTATAGCAGGAAATGTCTTCCTTGAGAATCTTAAACAGGGAATTGATCTTGATGCAGTTGTGAAAGCAACTATGAAGGAGTCAAATAAAGTCAGCACGGGAACTTTCAGTTCGGTTTATAAAGCCGTTATGCCTTCGGGGATGATTGTTTCGGTGAAGAAACTCAAGTCTATGGATAGAGCCATAACACACCATCAGAACAAGATGATCAGAGAACTTGAAAGACTCAGCAAACTTTGCCATGACCATTTGGTTACACCGATCGGGTTTGTTATATATGACGATGTTGCTCTCTTGTTGCATCAGCATTTACCTCATGGTAACTTAGCTCAGTTGATTCATGAGTCCACCAAGAAACCAGAGTACCAACCCGACTGGCCAATGAGACAGTCCATAGCCGTTGGAGTAGCAGAAGGCTTAGCGTTTCTCCACCATGTTGCCATTATTCACCTTGATGTTTCCTCTAGCAATGTCTTGCTAGACTCTGGTTACAAACCCGTGCTTGGGGAAATCGAAATATCGAAACTTTTAGATCCATCCCGAGGCACCGCAAGTATTAGCTCAGTTGCTGGCTCTTTTGGCTACATTCCTCCAGGTATAAAGTCTTGGTATTTGTTACCAATATTAACTTCATAAAATCCAACGCATTTTTACTTGTTTTTACTCGCAGAGTATGCATACACAATGCAAGTGACTGCACCGGGGAATGTATACAGCTACGGAGTCGTGTTGCTTGAGATTCTAACCTCAAGAGCGCCGGTTGAGGAAGAGTTTGGTGAAGGAGTGGATTTGGTGAAATGGGTCCATGGAGCTTCAGCGAGAGGAGAAACACCAGAACAGATACTTGATGCCAAGCTTAGCACCGTGTCCTTTGCTTGGAGGAGAGAGATGCTTGCAGCTCTGAAAGTTGCATTGCTTTGCACAGATATCACACCTGCAAAAAGGCCAAAGATGAAGAAAGTAGTTGAAATGCTTCAGGAGGTTAAAGCAAAGCCAATGAGAGAATGAATGGTGATTATATAGTTTCCTTTTTATGACATTCATATACAAAAAGGCATTCCTATGTATGCGAGCTTCTCTCATCTGTGTATTATATAGAGTTTTATGATGAATTGCAATCTTGATTCACTTATGGCTAATTTGCTTATCTCATTGCACAAATTACAAATTAAATCATAGATGAATTCAAAGTACATTTTGCCAAACTGTTCAACAACGCCTCTTTTTTTTCTCTGTCTGTAGGATCAAAGAATCTTTAGATTACAAGACCACGTGAACACCAGATGGGTTCTCTCAATTTTTACATTTCACACACCAAGAAGAAACAAATGAATTGGATAAAAGAATAAGTGAAAAAAGCAAAAGAGAAGATAGGAAGAGAAACCTACGAGGGAATGATCTAGCAAGACGGCGATTATTCCGATTTATGATGCTAAAGAAACTAAAAAAACGTAAGTCAAAGACTTTGAAAACCAAGCAAACCTATTTTTTTTTTTAGTTCTTGACTATTGAATTCAAAGAGAATCCTCCCAGATGTTCAACAGCCAGCAGCTTTAAGAAAGTTGTCGTAAGGGCTCGAGGCTGGTAGTTTATATGCTTCTGGGTTATTTTGGAGTTCTGAATAGCACTGTGTCTGAATAGTTCCAACTGGTGTTCTTGGCGATTTCATTCCCATTGGTGTTCTTGGCGACTTCATGTCAAATTCCTTCCCCAGTAAAGGGACTTCGACCTAGAAAAGTTTTATTAATCAATTATGTAAGTGATTAGAAAGTTGTCTTGGAAGTTAAAAACCGGAGCCTTGGATTAGTTTCAAGACCAAATATCAAACCAAATTGGTCAGCAGATATATGAATTCAGTACACAATTTTAAAGAGAGTAATCTATAAAAAAGGCATACCTCGGTGTGAAATGCTGAATTGATCATAGGTTCGAAAGTTGCGATCTTAATCTCTTCATCCTGTTGTCGTGGAGAGCAATTAACAGAACTCTCATGTCGTAGCTGAGAATTCAAAAGACTCGAGATCTTCTGCTGTTTACCCATTAACAGATTCTCACAATGTAGCGTCATTTCTTTGTACGAAGCATCGGCTGCAGTATGGAAGGAAATACGACCCACTTGACGTGTTGTCTCTACGACCTTCGAACAAAAAAAAACAAGTATAATACTAAGTTAATCTTAGGGATGAGTTGGTAATCTAATTTCTAGGAAGATGGTACATGTGACTTACAGATTCTAGAATTTGGTTGACGGATAAGAGGTCTGGGATTTCAGCAACTGTTACAGGATTATTCTTTGCAACGGTTTCAGTTCCATCTCCAAACTCTTGATCTTCGTGAGACAAGAGTGCCGCATCCTGAACATACAGACCAAGGTTCAACACACTGTTCATCTCAAGGTTTTAAGAGTTATAGGAAGCAGAAGTAGTACCTTTTGGGGTTTAACATCTCCGAAATCAACCTGAAAGGATTTCTGTGTGTCTTCTAAAAAGCGGGTTCCAAGTGGACATGCATCATCCGGCATGAATTCAGTGAGCAGCTGCTCCCGCATTTTGTCCATTTCAGACTGGAAACAGTTTACTGTGGTTATCAATTTTGATTTACCAAAATACGGAAAGCTACTTAGGTGGAGCGGTTTAGTGGGGAGGTAGTGACAGGAAACGCTTACATTGCACAAATCTTCTAAGCTTTTGACAATTTCATAGACAAGGGTTCCTCTGCTATGTTCAGTGGAGACTGCTATGTTTGAAAGAGTATCTAAAGCTGAAGCATCATCTTCCTCGCATCCATAAGCATCTGTCAGCAGCTGATCTGGATTTACAGCTTTCAACTTGTGATCTTCAACCAAGTGCAAGAATGGGTCAAGCTGAATCAGGGAGAAGAGAAATGAAAGCAAAATGGGAAATTATTTCTCTGTGTCATGCCATCGATAATAAAGCATAGAAGTCTGGTGACTTTCATGAGCTCGATAATATTGCGTAACCAACTGAGTTGCGTGCAATAATTACAAGAGAAAAAAACATTAACGTGGCAACAATTTCATCAACGTACCCTTGGTCCCTGAAGTGCTACTTTTGTGTAATCCGCCAGAGAAGAAAGATTGAATGCTTTTGAGGAAAAAAGAACCATTGATGCAGCCAGAGTGAAGAGTGACCTTCGTCGGGATGGAGGAAGTGGACCTGAAAATAGTAGGAAAAACTTTTAAGATGTTCAAAAATAGCTCGCCCTCGTTACACGGATATATACTTCAGCATAATCTACGAAATTCCAAGAAACCAAGAACTTATTCTTTTCCTCTAATGTGACAGAAAAAGCCACATATGTTTTCTTTCAAATTGATGCCACACATTAGCTAAGAGTCTACATCATACTTTCCAAAACAAAACCAAGGATAAAGGCTCAAAAACATTTGGAAGCTCACCTCCATCCATTAAAGAAATATCTCGCAAAGAAAGTGCCATTTGGAAACTTCGAATCAAAGCGTCGTGACTTGAATTCTGAAAGATAAATAAGTTTTTGATATGTTAACACAAAACTGTAAGCAAACAATTGAAAAAGGAGATCTAGTCAGACTTTTCTCATACATCTTAAAACCAATAAGAAACACTGAGATGCAGAGGTAGCAAGTATTGATATGAAATACATATTACCTTTACACGAGAGAACAACAATACAAGACTGTAGGTGTTAGCAATCGCCTCATAATTGTCGGGTGTATTTGCAGGAGATATGGATTGCGCCCAGATTGATGAAAGCAAAAGACCTATCTGATGACTACTTAGCCTTATAGAAACAGCATCCTGAGGAGCATATAAGTAATGAAATTAGAGAGTGGAGGCTGGTCCAAGGTGTACCTAATAACTGTTAGCATAATCAAGATGTAACAGCTGCAACAGGTTTAACTTTGTATATAGTTACAGAAATTATTGTGGTTTCAAGAGACTACTTTCTATTCAATTATATACCCTTGGTACCATCCTGAAACTAAGTTGAGAGCCTTGCGGATATTTTTCTAACCTAAATATATATAGGTCTCTAGGGTCACATTTAAGGTCTATAGGAAATGTACTACTCTTCTAGTAAGATTTTTCACAAACAACAAAAAAAAAGTTGCAAGGATGTACCAGCTCAGCGTTTAAAAGAGACACAGAGTTATCTGCGACCGAGGTCACTGGTTGATTCCAAGTGCTATATGCCTGACTGTATGAAGATTTCAATCTGTCAAGGATTTCCCCCCTATTGATTCCAGATTCCTCAGGCAATTCGTTTTGGCTCTGATCAGAAGTTAGAATTGACGAAAATTTGTCCTTCTTTAGCTTCTCGAAAAGGGCTGCTGAGGAGGAAAAGACAGACGCAGTCCTTGAAAGTGAACGAGGAAGACCCATTCCTTTCTTAAGGTCAGTAGTGGTCGAGGAGGGACGAGGGCACACTGAGGTTGGTACCAGCACAACAGAAAATATACTGTGGGCGCCAATCCGTGTTTTATGATCTGGATGGACCATCGCTTGAAGTAACTGATGGAATAAGGCCTCGGGAAAAGCCTGAAACGAAAAAAGAGTAAGAAAAGCTTAGCGATTTCATTAGAATTGGTCTAATCTCTCAACGGGAAGAGAAACAATAATACTAGATGGTACTGGAAGGTTGCCTTGTTTTGATATGACAAGTTTGGTATAGAGGCTACAATTTGAGCAGTGCGAAAAACAGCAGCGATTGTGGTCCTTGCTACATCTGTGACAGCTGAGATATTCTCCAACATCATAGCCATAGCATCTAGAATGGGGCCAGCATCTCCAACCTTTGAAAATTGACGGATAAGCCTCACATGTCTTTAAAAATGAATATATTGAACAGGAAGTAGAAGATATAAATTTTGCTCTAAAAATGGTAGTAATATACCTTTTTCGTTAGTTGGACGAGGCACTTATCAACAGCTACACTGACCGTTCTGTTGCAGTTTGCTACTTCAGTTCCCAGATTTGATTCATCTAGAGAAGAATGCATGCCTTTTCTGAGGTGCCTCATGATATCACTTATTGCGCTGACTATTGCTGCTGAGTGTTCAACTTTTGCATTTTCAGCAAGGGAGGAGGTAACCTCTAAAATGTTGAGCTGCATGCTTGGCTGTTTAAGCACACTTTTATGATCCAGGTGTTTAATTAACATGGAGAGTAGAAAGTGTGTTCTTTGCCCTGCAAGATTGCAGAACTTTTTTTAATGCACCGGTCATGCATCGGGAAGGGCTGAATGAAAACTATTGAGAGCATAATACCAGATATTTCCATTAGAAATTGCAGATCCCTCAAAATTGGTAATGCAATCGAATTTTCCGTTGACCATAAATATCCCTCATCAAAGTAACGGAACAAAGACTCGAGTATACGTCTCATGGTTGTGGCCTCTTCACCTAGCTTGGCCATGTTGTGCAGGCAAACCTTGGACCAAAAGCTAGGGTCCAAGGAATCTTCCCTGAAAAAGAAAAGATATATTGAAGAGAAGAGAAGAATCCATTAAGGTAAACGTAAACACAACTGAAGAGAGAAGAAATTACATTTTAACATTTAATTCACCATTATCATTCACAACCGTTCTCCAAGAAGGAACATTAATGAGGGAATCTGCATGAGCTACATGACCTTCATTTTTCAAGACTTCATCCACCCATTTTCTGCTACTATCATTAGCATTTGTTAATTTTTTGGGGAGACCGTAATTTTCCAAGACTGCTGAGACAACCTGTCATGCAAGTATTGAATTTATCAGTTCACATATATTAACATGTACTACCTAAAACTTGATTAGGACAACATTCTACCAATACGATCCAACCCCCAATTTCTACATAAATTAACCACAACTGGTAGATTGTTATGGTAATTTCAAACCTTTGCCCAAGAAATTTGGGAAGCAAATCAATTGTTAGATACAAAAAATCAATTGCTTTCAGTGCAGGAAAGCAGATCAAAAATCAAAATAAACTAGTGCATGAACCTGAGAGCTACTTACATTGTCAAAGTCGCTGGGAATATGAGAGTATTCACCCATCAGCCAAATCTAGAAAAAAGGCCAGAATGCATCAGAAGATACTTGTAGATTTACAATTTAGAAGAATATTATCTACAGAAACATAACAGCATAACCGAATTACCATTGCAGAAAGGGCTTGAAGTCCGGCTGCACGCAGGCTCCGCGATCTGTCATCACCCCCACCTTCCAGTGCTAATTGGCACAGCTTTGGAAGAAAGCCTTCTAAGTTAAACAAGGAACTGCCATCCTTCTGCAAAATTTGATAGCATGAATTAATCATACAATTTCTTTATTTTTTATGTCCTTAAGCATTCTATCTCCATATGAAAGCACCCTTACATGTAGTTACAAGAGAGAGAAATATATCAAGTATATAAGAAGCTGACCTGATTATTTACAAATTCGAAAAGAGATTGACATCCAACTCTTTGCATTTCATCTTGTCGAGTTTGATCCAACAGAGCTTGTACCGTCCTTAGAAAACCACTAGAGAAAAGAGGCCTGGAAAAAGAACGAAGAAAAATATCAAGTCATACATGCCGAAATACTTTGGCTCTTGTGATAGGTTAAAATTTTCGGGTAAATTTCTTGGCTTCTTATGTTAAGCCATAGAATATCTTGGGCATAAAAGAAAACATCTGATGTGTTTGTTAAGAAAACAAAAGAAGGATGACCTCACATTTGCTCCTTACAAGTGACCAGAAGCCTTCTGTATATGCACATGACTATCTTTGCCGACTGGAAATTCTCATTCCTCAATTCCTTATAACACCTTTGCTCGAGAGAATCTGATATCTGGAAAATCGTAAATTTCAACAACACAAGAGAGAACTAAGTTTGGGAGAAAAAGAAACCTGACAACATTGCTATAATGAGTAATCTGACTCAAATATATGAACTAATCCCAACCAAAAAAGTTAAAGATAAGTGCTAATATTCCAGTCCAACACAAGATTTTTAAAATAGGTGTGCCTAGACCTGGCTTGGGATACCTTGGGCATACGCACTGCGTTCTTTGCAGCATATTCACATAGTTTTCCAATCTTCCGGTCATTTGGGCCTTCCTGTCAGAATCGTAAGCAATAATAAGTTTAACAAACCCACCAAGATAACCAAGAGGGAAGCTCCCGCTTTCTATACTAGTACCAAAGAACATAATGTCTCGTTCACTAGAAAATGAATCAAAGCAAAATGAAATGAAGATTGACAAGCTTTAACATAGAGAAGGGAAAGCATCCAAGACTAAAAACGAAAATTATGCCACTTTGGGAAAATTAGAAACACAGTCATGATTTCATCATCGAAAAATTTCACCTCAGCCAAAGAGTGGCTGATTTAGCAAATTTTGTGTGCTCCCACAGCATGACAATGTAGGTCAAAGCAATCAGTAATTAAATAAAGGTAACTATGAACTTGTGAAGAGACTAAAGAAGTTTATTTGGAAACCATAAAGGAATCAAAATCCAATAGACAACAAGAAGCAAACAAGTGAATAATAGAAGAGGGGAAAATGGGTAAATAACAAACCTGATTACGAGGGAAAATATCAGCGATGAGCTTCTTGTACCTCTTCACAGGCTGTCTAGACCTTGCACGCAAGGCAGGGCAAAGAATGCAAAGGCTACCACAAACAGGCAAAACTTGCCTCGAGATCACACCCGAGACTGCGCTCATTCTTCAACCCAGATTCTAGCACCCAAAAACAAAAGTCCACAATTCCGGTTGAATCTCTCAAGTATGAAGTATCTCCTCCCTCTTGATCCACCGAAAAAGCCTTAAAGCTTCCTCGGGCAAGAAGGAAAACAGAGCTCGACGATTAAACGAGGACACTCCTTAAAACTCAAGCGTTCGCCTGAAATATCCAAAAAAACAAATGTCAAAAATCGACTAACATTTCTCTGAGAACAGACAGAAAATTTATCAGACGAAAATCCAATTCATTGTATAATCCAGAATCCACCGAAAATGAATCACCTAGAAAGTATCATCACATCCCCTAGAAATCACTGATATTAGAACCCATATAGCATTTTACCCAGATTGATTCAAAGTAATGCTGCACAAACAAAATATCAATTTACCTCAGATCAAAGCTCAAATAAGCGAAACGGTGACTGAAAATTGATCGGCAACGCACCGGAAAAGTGGAATATCTATCTCTCTGAGTAGAATTTAGTCGCCGGATCGTCCGGCAAGCTTGCAGCTATGATCTTCTTCTTTGTTTTTCCTTCCTCAGATACATTTCAACGGCACGACGCGGGTTCCACCTTCTGCCGTTTCGTTGCTGCTGCTATTTTATTTTTTATTTTTATTTTTAATTTACTTTTCAACTTTTTCCAGATAGGAAATCATCTCAGCCGTCCGATGCGAATACTTAGTGTTTTTAATCACGAATATTATTTTATTTTTCCTGATTTTCTTTTATTTTTGATAATTGCCTGGGGTAGTTATTGCATTTTAGCCAGCTCATACAGTGCAAATAAAGCAAACATAATCTTTAATCATTCTATAATTAGCTAATTACTCATTCAGTGTGTGTGGATATGATCTCGAATGATTTAGAAAGAAATTTACATTCTAGTGCTCTGAAAATAATTTATATCCAAAGTCAATGGGGATGATTCACTCTTCAATGAGTCAAGAGTAAGCTATATCTTTTTATAAAAAAAAATTGGTATAACTGTAAGCCGAATGTTTGATTAAAGAAATTCTTCACCAAATCAAACCAATTATTTCGACAAGATCACGTTTTATCTAGTACATACAAGAGGAAAAATAGTTGTGGGAAAATTCATTACGTTTATTGCACCGTTAAGTTAGCTGTTTGTCACTTAATATTAACGTCGTTAATTGATCATGACGGTCACGTGGGGTCAGCAATCTGTTTTTAATTACCGCGGAAATTGGGTAAAATTTCCCGCGGATAAATCGCCAATGATGACGTCAGTTGACAAATTTAACACGTTGATAGTTTGACCCCCTAAACAGAAAACACCAGTTTATAAAGAACATGTGAAACATTCTGAATTGACAAAATTGCTGAATAACAAGTGTAACTTTCGATTTAAAATATTTTATTCGCAAGACTACATAAGAAAAACAAATTTGATAATCCTGTTTTAATCACAAAACTCTGAAGAGGGATATTGTGCTCAACTATTTCCCTTACTCCCCAGTTTTACAATTCTACTTTGCTATAAATAAGGGCCAATGCTCATGAAAACAACTAAACCACCCAAGGATAAAGTTCAAAGAATGCGCCTTTTTCTTTGGCTGTTTTGTTTCAAACCAGTACGAGAAGAAAATACAAAGATGTTGAGTATTTCATAAAAAAATGTGAGTGAACACACTAGGCTCTAGAAGTACCTTCGTGATCTCTTTCAATATGGTTCACAAGATCCACTGGATCGCGGAATCCTCTGCTACATTTAGGGCAAACGCAAACATCGACTTTGCGATGATTCTGCTTCTTGTTCCTCTCATGTGTTTTCTCTACATGTTCCACAAGAATGGCAACCGAAGAGAATTTAGCACCACATTGTGGACACACCTCCACGATACCATCACTGCTGCTGCTAGAAATATGAAGCTTGTGGCTAATGTCGTTACCGAGTCTGCTAATTCCTGCTTCTGCTGAAGATAGAAGATTGGACCACCTTGAAGAAGAAGAAGAAGATGAAGTTGATGCAGGAGCTTTGTGGGGTCTTGTTGTTTTGGTTTCTTTTCTGCTACTACCACTCAAGAAACCCATGAATGGGAAACTTGATTCAGGTTTTCTGGGTCCAGGGCAAGCGTGATCAGGTCCAAAACGGTGTTTTAAACAGTGATCCATATTGCAATCCCGGCACTTGATGGTGTTGGAGAATGTTAGTTGCTCCTTGCATCTTGGAACAGGACATTTCTTCTTCTTTGTGGCTTTTTCGTAGTTTGATGGGTCACAGTCAGTGTTGACATGTTTCTCCCATGTTATATTTGGGTCTTCGTTTGGGTTTAACCGGACTCCTTTAGCACAGAGCGGGCAGATAACCACGGTTACATCTTCCCTGTCGCCCTTTGGACAACTATGTTTCATATAGCTTCGATGATCCAAACAAAATACCTGGAAAAAAAGAGAAAAATCTCAATGTAAAATTTCCACATTAGATTCAGAGAAAACCAGATCGAGCACACAAGCTTTAAACAAAAATCGAATGGTAATTTGTAGACCAAAGACCGAGCCATGAAAGCTGACAAGAAGTTTTCTGAATCAAGAAAATAGACAAGACTCATTGCATTAGTCCCGAGCAGAGTACTCGTTTTATCAATCAAGAAATTGGACTCCAAATGTTGAAAAACTTTATTCAATCCACTTAACAACAAGTGCGGAAAACTTGTCAAATGCCGATAATTAACCTCCAAATGACAGTTAACTTAACACCTAACGGTAATCAAAATGATTCTATACTAAACTATGTAAAAAGGCTGTGGTTTAACGCACAACATAAAAAGGGATCATTTCCTCTCGGGGCTTTCTCCTAAAACACAAAAACGTAATCAACGAGAAAAGAATAAGGAAGATGATATCGTCGATCACAGGATTGAAGACATGGGATTGGGTCAGAGTCATACACTATTCGCAACAAACATAAAGACGATTTCTTTGCATGTAAACGATTCAAACAGAGAGAGACAGAGAGACCTGGAGGCAACGGTCGCAGGTGAAGGGCAAGAAATCGATCTGCTTGCAAATATCAACGGAGCAGTGTTTTCCCAGATCTGGAAATTCCGGAGTCCCCATTGATACCGAGAGCTTCCCACGATTCGAAACAGTTCCGACAAATAATAAAAATCTGAAAGAACTTAAATCAGTTATAGGGCTTTGCCGGCGAGGGAGAAGCTCCGGTAAAAGAAATCAGATTCCGCGGATTTAGAATGACCAGAAATTTCGCAGAAGCGTGGAGAGAGAGCTCTTTAAATATGTAGGAAAAGTCAACTTTTTTAATCTTCTTCTATTCAAAGTCTCTATCTTTTCTCCGACTCGGAACAATCCGATTATAAAAGTCAAGACTTCAAAAATACTATTTAGCTGATTATCCATCACTACAAAATCTAGAACTCAATGAAAAAACCATCCGAATTTCGAGTAAACGATAAAAATTAACTTTAGATAGAACAATTTTGCAAGAATTAGACGTTTGGAACCAGGGTTGTTGGGTTTTTCATTTTTGCTACTGGACTAGAGGATGATCATGTATTGCGTGTTATCCAATGTTCTTGAACATTTTTGGTTCATTAAACCCAACAAGGATTATCATACACCAGATAGAATAGAAGGGAAATCAAACTGGCATCCACCATAGAAAACTGGGATTTGGCTTTAGTCAAAAAGAAATAAGCAAAACTAGAACATTATCATCCATAATTAAAAACTGATAAAAAAGAAATACACTGTTTAGGAGAGAATAAAACATAAAGGTGCAATCCAGCAAACATATACTAAGGTTCGACCAAAAATCAACTCATGAAGGATAATCCAAAATGAAGACAACTCATCAAGGGCATCATTTAGGCTTGGTCTTCACCCTCAGTGATGACTTTGCTGCTCGGAAGCTCCTTGCTGGCCAAGAGATCTGTGTACTCTTGGTATGGGGATTTAGCAAATCTTGTCTCTTTCCAGAATTCCGGTGTAAGGAATCCGTAAGTCTTCTGAAGGCAATCGAATGTAGCCTGCAAAACAATGATGCAGAAGATAAATCAATGATAGTTAACTAAATGCATATAAGAAAAAGGAATACATGAAGATATTGAAAGACAAAAATAACATCAACGTTATCTGTAGAAGATATGTTCAAATACATGTGAATGAAAAAACCCATATTGCATCATTTCATCTATCAAGTATCATGTCTCAACATTGATGATATTTTACACTAATCAAGCCTTCAATAAACTTCATGACAAAGAGAAAAAGCTCAATACATTTAATTTACTTCAGAATATAGCAAAAACAAAACAAAAATGGCACAAAGCGATCATTCAAACAGGTTGTGAGAATAATTAGACTAAAAAGACGAACATTTCTTATTTCCATCATCGATACAGCTATATTCCCCAGAGGTAATTCATCAAATAAGGAGTAAAGTCGGTATTTTAAAGAGAACAAACCTTGACGAAGTTGCCCAGAGTTTTGGTGGATCCCCTGGAGGAGGTGAAAACATCATCAATTCCAGCGAATTGAAGAACCTTCTTAGGAACTCGAGCAGCCACAATACCAGCACCTCTTGGAGCTGGAACCATCCTCACCGTGACGGATCCACACTTTCCGGTGACCTTGCAAGGAACCGTATGTGGCTTCCCGATCTTGTTACCCCAGTAACCTCTTCTCACCGGAATAACAGAGAGCTTCGCGAGGATAATCCCTCCTCTAATGGCCGTAGCAACCTCCTTAGAGCACTTCACTCCCAATCCAACATGACCATTTCCGTCTCCGACGACAACAAAGGCCTTGAACCTCGTCCTCTGACCGGCCCTGGTTTGTTTCTGAACCGGCATGATTTTCATCACCTCGTCCTTCAATGTAGGACCAACGAGGAGATCCACGATCTGATACTCCTTGACCGGGAGTGAATGAAGATAGATCTGCTCGAGCTTCTGGATTTTTCCTTCCTTCACGAGACGACCAAGCTTGGTCACTGGAACCCACTTCTCCTCCTCTGCGGGACGACCTCCACGTCGACCACCACGGCCTCTAGGACCACCTCTTCCTCCACCACGGCCTCCGAAACCACGTCCGAAACCACCACGGTCTCCACCACGCTCGGCGCCTCTTTCTCCACCACGTTCCGCCATTTTCAAAGTTTACGGCGAGCTAAGACTTGAATCGATGCGATGTGTTGCCGTGATGAAGAGAGGAAAAAACCCTAGCTGCGGCGAATTGTGCTATATATTGCTCAGGTGCTACAATCGAATTTAGGGTTTTCTAAAGGCCCTTGTCAAGGTTTGTTTGTTTGTTAAGAAAATCAATGAGCTTTGTCGGCCCAATAAACAAATGTAATTCTCGGCCCGTTTTTAAGTCAAGCTAGCTAGAGATAAGCAAACAATTAAAAATCGCTTTGATTAGATGTTCATCGAGGAGTATGAATTAACTTGAATCAATTGGTCAAGTAACAACAGACATGTTTAATTGTTTTCCCACTTTCGAAAAGTAATATGATCGAAGGTATTCTTCATACATTAATCAAACACCATAATTAAGGTACGTACATAACCATTTTATATCGTATTAATTACTTTATTCATGAAATTTCAGACAAACAATTTAGTATGTAGTACACAAAAGAAGAAAAAAATCTGTAGAACATATTGTATATGTGTATTCATATACTACACTAAAATTCATGGTATGACAATATCTTTCATTGTCCTGTATATGTATATATCCACAAGTATATTTATATTATCATACTTTTGTATACTTTGTATCTAGCTAAATATGTCTAGGAATGTGTGTGTTTGATAGATCTAAATAATTAAGTGGATTTGCATTGAGGCAAAACAGCGCCTTTGTCCATCACATTAGCGTTGCTGCAACTTGCTTCCCCTCCCTTAATGTTCACTTTGTCAAGCACAAGTCCTTGGCATGGATAGTTCTTGCTGCAATTAAACGTTATTGCCATGTCTGATGCGCTCGTGCCGCGTATGTTCCGGTACACCACGTTCTTCACCTGAACCGCCGATTTCTGAAAATATGTTGTAATGATTAGATCCAAACATAATTATTACATATGATTATGAGTAATTCGAAGATTTGATCATATTCGAATGAACCTGTTCGGTGCATTTGCTCTTGTCGCAGTAATCTTGGTCGATTATGATTGGATTCTTCACATTCTCCATTTGAATGTTCTGAAATACAATGTTGCTAGCAGTTCCTGACCCTCCCTGAATTGAATTGGGTTAAACGGTATATCAAAAATAAAGTGGGGGAAATTTGAGACTTTAATCAAAACTAAAGGGGCTAGTTTGTGAATTTCACCTGGTAAGTTTTAATTCTAACTCCATTGTCTGTACCGGAAAGCCTAGCACCATCTACAATCACGCCTGAGACAAATGCCTTTGAATTGTCATCTCCTAAGCTCCCAATGCTGCTCATATTTCAAAATGATATATCAAATTTTTCATATTATTTTAGAATATTATGAATCAAGAAAACCTTTGGGTATACATATACTGGAAAAAATTCGTTGATACCTTATACCGTGACCGGGGCCACAAGTTAAATCATTGATTCGAACATTCTGTGATCCACTTTCAATAGATATGCAATCATCACCTATTTAGAAAAACAACCATTCAGAAACACCTTTTAGAATAATCTCCTACCATAAAAAATAACAAAGCCCTAAAATGTAGGTGCCTTGAAAAGCAAGCAACTATTTTATGAAAGAAAAAAAAAAGGATGCAAGGATAAATGACCTGTTCCAATGATGGATTTGGAGACTTGAATATTTCGGGTGTTAGTGATATGAATACCATCAGTGTTAGGACTATCCGCAGGAGCAGTTACCACAACATTTGAGACCTGGACGTTGGAGCATTTCTCAATCGAAATCTGAATCTGTTGCGCATTTCTCACCCTTAGATTATTTACTCTCAAATTATTCGAGTTGTAGAAAGTAAGAGCCTGCGTACAAAAAAAACACATTTATGTAAAAGATCCGTCATGGCGATCAAAACCATAATTATTAATATTTTGATAATGTATGTTTCAACATACCGTTGGAGCTTTTGATGAGCATGACTGCATATAAACAAACAGAGAGATTAATGTCAGTCTGTAACGTAAAACTCAAATTATATTCAAATATGAGATGTATGATGCATGTAATTTAAATTAAATGAACACACACCTTAGCATTACTCCGTTTGCATGAGTTTTGCCACCACGTTTCTCCGTTACCCTCGACGGTTCCGGAGGTGCCGCCATCGACTGATAGACTGTTCACGCCGTCAAATGTAATCCATTTGCTGGGATCTTTGTAATCCGATCGCTTCTGAGATGCCGATAACGTCCCGAATATCTGTCGACCAAAAACGTTCATTCATATATATTTAAATCCATAATATTTATATACATATATATCATAGAGGATCGTGTAATTAGTTACCTGAACGGTAAGAATTGATTTGCATGGACCAGTTAATCGAATAGACTTAAGGAGATAAGTTTTCTCTTTGGGAACTAAAAGATTAACAGCTCCATTTGAAGAACATGCTTTCTTCCACGCATTCACGAATGCCTGATCATGCATAGATCATTAGAATAAACAACTTAAAACTATATATATATATATATATATATATATATATAAATTTTGTTGTTAAAAGCTGTTTTAGAATAAGATAAATATATGTGTATTATTTATATATACATACTTGAGTGTCATCGGTTTTTCCATCTCCTCTAGCTCCAAAATCAGAAACACTAACGGTAGCTGGAGGCCGCGAAGAGGCTCTCATGAAGCTTTTCAAATGCGTGATATCGTCTCTACGCTTGATTATGCTGTCGGATTTTAGCCTCCCGTTAGAATGGTCATATATATCAACTCTGCTTCTTGAAGCTTCGCACCATGAGAGCATCAAAAGAGCCCATAATAGGAAACCGGTTAGAAGTTTGCAACAACGGGCCATTGAGGTTGGTATAAATATGGTTTTTGGGAAAAGGTAATGCGTGTCTTTTTTTGGGAGTGTATTAGATAGGTTGAGAATGTTTGATGTTTGTGATTCTTGTCTTTGTGTTGCTTTGTTTTGAAATTGGAAAAGTGTAGGCGTACGTCTATTTATAGGCAAATCAAAAGGAACTCATTCAAGGATAAAAGTTAGGTTTCTTATGCTTGAATGAGTTCGAGGTATGGAGTGAAATTGAGATTGTCACGTAAACACTACTTTAGGCATCTATTTTAATATATCATTTTATTTATTTTTTCTTCGTTAAGAGTTTCATGTTTATTACTCTCTTTCTCTCTCTTGTTTAATCTATTCAAAATAATCTGTTGTCTCTTAGCGAGACCATGCTTATCGTATTTTCTGCAAGAAACATCGCCTAATGATTTAAGGTAATTGTATTTACTATTAATATTATTATTATAGCCTCAGTTCGATTATTGGATAGATTGACTAAAATCATTTCTGTATAATTTCTTTATTCAGGAAATTGAATGGCCAATGTGATGACCAACGGATAATATGATCGATGTTGCTATGAATTTGTAAAAATTAAATTTGTTATGTTGAAATTTAGTATGGTTCATGATAAGTCATCAATTAATTTTTTATCATCATTAATCAACTTTCGCTAGGCAGTTTTCTACATGTTTATCATATCAAAATATGTACTTATGTAGTTTCTTTAAAATGTTTTTGGTCAGTTCTTTTCTTATATGTTTAATAAGTTAAAGATATATAAGAACTAATTAAGAACCATCAAAAATATGTATGATTTCAGACAAAAGAATGGTTTCAGTAATTTAAAATTTTAAGCGGGTGTTTTTATGCGTTTGTATGTGTGATTGTATATATGTTACAACAAACATGTTTTGTTTTTTGGTCAGATATGTTAAAAGTATATATGGTCGATCGATCGGAAAAAAAAGTAAATTAAACTATTGATTATGACGAATGAATGATGAGATTTAATTTCCAAATCATCTATCTGTGCCGTATGATGATAATACACTTTTAGCGATTATGCCCCCACAAATTCAAATTTACGTGCCAAATACACAATACGAAAAGTAGGAGCTGTTGTAAAAAAACAGTCGTAAATTTCGTGCACTATAGAGAAATGCGTAAGTTTAGCAAAGAAAAAACGAACTCTTTATATGTTCGTGAAGGTTCAGTTGAAATGGCGATAACTACCCGTTCACGTGACCGCCGCAATTTCTTCCTCCTCTTGATCTCATTGCTTCCTGAAAGAATGAAATTTGGCGTTTATATGGTTAAAATATCCACGTCATATTAAATAAGACCTTTTTATTTTTCTTTCAAGTCTGATTACTAAATGCATATTTTTTTTTGTTCATTCGTCAAAAAATTTGTTCATACTTTTTTATATATATACCATGCATTACCCACACGTTAAAGAAGTGGTAATTCGGAGGATGTTTAACTTATTAACGCCTGGGTAAAAAATTAAGAATCTGAGTTCGCCCGATGGATAAAATGAAAAAAAAATGGCGGTAAAGAAATAATGGTAAAAGATATATGTATGATTAAAAGTGGTAAAAGATATAAATGTGGATATTAATGACATATAGTTTGTTTTATTTATTTAAAATGAAAAATAAAATGCTTCCAGATCGTAGAGTTAAGCCAAATTGCGCGGCACACACATGGCGTATGGGAAGCAAAATTAGGCGCAGCACGTGAGACATAAGGGTTATAAGCACATGTGTCTTCCCTTATGCCCATACTATTTTTTAGTTGTGGAAATTTAGGTTGTGCCAGTGCCATGGTCGACGATTTATTTGAAATTAACACGTACGTGTTCAAAGTTTCAATGTGTTTTTATCACATGATTGAGCAGTAAACCCCATTTCTTGTTTCTAGAAAATTAGGAATATAATCATGCATGACGACCCCTCAGAATTAGTAAGAAGTTTCTAGTCCGACTTTAATATCCCAACAACAAACAACTTCTATATCTAACAATAACAAAATCCAATTCAGCAGAAAGAAAATTGAGCTACGGTTTCAAAATTTTAAACAAATTTACACAATAATGGAATTTCCAATAACAACGGGAAAACTAGTGTCCGTACATATATTTCTGAATAAAATTTAAAACCAAGGTAAGTTAGGTAACGATAGGTGCTTATCGATTATATAAAAATATACTCCATGATTTAGACGGCTATTAATATGTATATTATATAAGGTAAAAAAAAAAAACGTAAACATACATCACGAGGCATATGTTTGCTTGAGAGACCCAAAGGTATGGACGAAAGCATGACTTCTGGGAAATATTCCTGGTCGTTGTTATACAACTCCTTAATTGTAGGTTCTTGTTCATCCTTTGAATTTCCAAATTCCCAAATGTTTAGGATTCAGTTTACTAATTAAATTTTTGCCCAAAATGAAAATATATACTAATTGTTCTTCTGATTACTATTCCTTTTTTTTTCTCTCATGCATGCATGTGTAGTAAATGGATAATCCTAAAATGGCAAAAAAAAAAAATCCAGTGTCATAAACTTATTCGATAGAATCATCCCAAATTTATCTAAGCAATTCCCGCTAGAACTGTCGAGTTGTAAAATTTTATTTTATTTTTTAGATATCTTGTTAAGGATATGAAGATTGGATTAGATATATACTTACCTATCAAATGTCAACATGGGACCACTGTTATGGTTTGAGGTTCAATAATGATATTTAGGACATCTGATGCTATATGATATAGCTCTCATAGGAAAATAGATGTTTCCTTAATGATATTTAGGGTATTTCTTCCTCATTTATCGTCATCTCCATTTAGTGAACAAAAGAAAACGAAATATTTTAAATTCTGGATTTTTACTTCAATGCATGAAATCGGCAACGATAAAAAGAAGAAGAAGATGTAACCCTCGTATATGAACCATTATAAATCATGTGTGTCGTTTGATTTATTTTTATCGTTCAAAAAGTTTGGATTCGAAATCCAAATTCTAACACGAGCTACGCCATGAAATTTCAAAATTAATTAATGAATGCATAGCAAAGACATTTGAGTCTTTTACCCAAAAAAAAAGACATTTGAGTCTAAAACTGGTTAATTATCTTAGAATACTTCATGTTCACCCAAGTCCAGAACATAACATTACAAACATTATGGTGGTATATATGTAATCAGTATGTCATATTCTTTGTTGCACGAGTAGATTTTATACTAAAAGCAATAAAATACTATAATATTTCACAATTTGCTTTGGCATTTGGATAAGGATCTATATATATATCTCACTATGCATGTCTATAAAATATATATGGATATCCACAGAAAACGGCATTTAACCGTATTTGTAATATTTTAAACAGAGAAATGCAGTCGTTTTTTCTTTTTGGTTTTGGTTTGAAAATATAAAATTATTTTTCGTGCACAGACACACACACGCATATAATATACATGTCTATAAGAAAACTCATGAAAATTGATAAGTATATACATTGAATTTTTAATAGATCAACAACTATACAGAAAATTAATATTTTTATCATGAAATTTTACCATCAAACTTCAGCCGCCTATGCATAATATTGCAAATGATACTATTTCGAATTTCCAGAAACTCTTCTTACACACAAATCACAAAGACATCAATTGTTTGGTAAATGTGTGGACCGGGATATTATTGGATATAAGGATGTAATAAGAAGAGAAAATTAAAATGAACTTGCATTTAAAATATATTGGAAACGGGTAAACGCCCATAAAGGTTAAGGAAGGGGTGCTGTGTACAACTATATCAATTTTAAGAATAAAATATAAATGAGTTTTTGTTTTGACCAAAAAAAGTTTCTCTGTTTCTGTTAAATTAGTTGGTATACGGAAATTATGGAATGGCCACAAATCACAAGTCTCATTGGCCTTGCTCTTTATTTATTTATACATATCGCATTAACACGACAATTAAGTTGTGGATAGATGCATAGTGTCAAGGAATTGAGTTGAGATAAATATGATAATATTCTTTTGGAAACTTGCATCAGGTGTTCTATTCAGCTATATTATATATAAAAAAAAGAAATTCGGAAATTATGTAATACTACGTACATATGACTTTCTTCTTCTTTTATATTTTTGATCAAACTCGGTCTCGGTCTATACTTATGGACGTGGAGAAAATTACCAAATTCAACGTATCGTCGTTAGCTAAGACTTGAAGCTAATCGAGAGATCTTGCACTGATATTGGTCTGTTAAACTTAGATTAGAAGGATCATAAAAATGCGAAGCCATGATTTATCTATGTGTTGCATGTTAGACATTCTACTTATAAGTTGCTAAATTGTG